CGGCCGTGGCCCCGCCCTTGTGCCCGCAGCCGGACGCGCCCTCGGACTGGATGCAGGAGGACTGCCTCTACCTCTCCGTGTTCACGCCGCAGGTGAGTCGCCTCGGAGGAGGAGCGCGGGGGCGGCGCCCGCGAGGCGCGGGTTGGAGGCGCTGCCGGGGAACAGCCAGTGAGTTTGTGACCTTTGCTCCTCGCCAGATGGGTTCCAGCACCACTGCTGCCTCGTTGCTTTAGAAAGGATAATACAAAGATTGAAAAGGCCTCCACCTGAATGAACCTTTGTTTCTGGTGGCCTTCAGCCAGCTCTTTACTTCGCACTCCATGCTCAGTTGGTCCTAGTAAAGTCAGATGTGAGCCATTTTGGGACCGACAGCAGTCAGTGATTTGAGCATCGTCTTTAGTCATTTTTTATTCATTTTTTGCTTGTCTGATTATTAATTTTCGCATGTTTTTGCAATCATTGGTAGCCTTACGACTAGAAATCTGAATTGTGTTTCAGCCCAACCGGACTGACCTCCCCGTGATGGTGTGGCTTCCCCAAGGAGGCTTCATCAGCGACGCGACGCCCCTGTTCCAGCCGGAGTTCCTCCTGGCGAAGGACGTGGTCCTCGTCGTCCTGCAGCACCGCCTCGGCGTCCTGGGTTCGTGTCGGTGCCGCTTCCGTGTCTATGTTGGCATGTTGCGTGCGAAGTGGCTTTCTTGTCGGTGATCAGATGGGATTACGCTGAGTATCTGATTAAGACTATTTTTCATCTAGTGCATTTTGTCAATTCTCGCTTGCTCGTCATTGCACCAGAGCCATGAAGGGCTAATGCGGTCGATTCCCTCAGGATTCCTGTCGACCGAGGACGCCGAGCTCCCTGGCAACCTGGGGCTGAAGGACCAGGCGATGGCCCTTCGCTGGGTGCAGGACAACATCCGCGACCTCGGCGGAGACCCAGACAAGGTCACCATCTTCGGCCAGAACGCGGGGGGCGCGGCTGTGCACTACCACATGCTGTCTCCCATGTCCAGTGGTAAGTCCGTCTCTCCTGGCCAGAGGTAAATCCATCTCATGGCCAGCAGTAGGTTCCTATTCGAGATGTGGGGAAGAGGTAGGGATGTGTATGAGGGAATTCAGACCTTGAGCATATGATGGTTTCTAAAGATTATCTCAAGCTCATCCACGTTCCATCTATGGCAGATGCGTAATTTGTCGCCCAAGAGACTTCTCCCGTCTCTAATTTCCTTCTCTCCCGCCGAAGGCCTCTTCCAGCGAGCCATCATGCAGTCGGGGGGGCGGGCGCTGTGTCCCTGGGCGCTCCGGGAGGACCACCGGCAGGTGGCCTTCGGCTTCGGCCGCATGGTGGGCTGTCCGGGCGACCGCGCGGACGCCGCCAACAGCACGGCGCTCGTCGACTGCCTCAGGGACGTCCCCGTCGAGCAGCTGATGGCCGTGACGCCCTACATCACGGTGAGCGAGCGTCCTTCTGGACGGCTTATTAGAGTGTGTGTGTGTGTCTATGTGCATTCATGCGTCCCTGGATCAGTAAACGGACAGAAGGAAACGTGACCCTCGCCTCCGCCCACAGCCCTCCCCGTACGTCCTGACGCCCCGCGTGGACGGCGAGTTCCTGCCCGCCCACCCCGCCACGCTGGTCAGGGAAGGCCGCTACAACCGCGTCGACGTCCTCTCCGGCGTGACGCGGGACGAGGGCGCCTTCAACGCCAGAGGTGAGGGCCGGCGCCTGGCTCCGTCCTCGCAGCCACAAATACCATTTCAATCATTTATAAAGACTTTCTGTCCCAGCATATGCATTTCGCCACCTGGCGGTCGAACTTTGAAGTAAAAGGGAACCTCTTTCTCGCTTCCTCCTCAGCGTTCGTGGAGGACGGCGTCATGGACAGCATGATCCAGAACTTCAGCCTCGTGGGCCCCCCCGCCCTCGGCTTCGAGGCCTGGGACGACGACCCCGAGTACCTGGCCCGCCTGGCCTTCCACAGGTACCTGGGGCCCATGGAGTTCGACCTGACCAGGATCGACCCTCTCGTCAAGGTAAGACCAGCAGGGCATCGCCAGACGCCACGGGCCTGAGTTTAGAAATGCTCTTTGGAGCGACTGCGCCTCAGTGTCATACCTCGGCCTGACCCCGACCCTCCTCCCCCTCCCCCAGCTCCTCGGCGACAGCTTCTACAGCATGTGCCACGTGGAGGCCGTCGAGCACCACGCGCGCGACGCCGCCTTCGGCTTCCGCGCCTTCGCCTACGAGCTGCAGCACCGCGGGGAGCACGCCTTCTCCGACCTGTTCCGGGGGCCCTCGCCCGCGTGGAACCTGGCCTGTGAGGAGCCCTTCCTCGGGGACAAGAGGCTTTCCCGAATTTGTTGTGAATAAATGCAGGTTTGGATAAGGTTTCTTTACTGTTTTCATTTGTTCCGTCTCCACGTGACGGATTTAGCTCTGGCGGCGACCGACACAAAGGCTTCTCTCGCACACAGACGTGGGCGACTCGGACGACCTGCAGTACCTCTTCTCCTTCGATAAGCTCAACGTCAGCCTGACCAAGGAGGAGGACCTCTTCGTGTCCCGGATCATGGTGGATCTCTGGACCAACTTCGCCGCCACCGGGTGAGAGGAAACGCTTTCCAGGGATGTCCAAGGACGGGGGATTTGCGAGTCAGTCTCGGCAGCTGATGTGGCACACTACTGCACACCAGCTCTCTGGGGAAACAATGAGCTTCGTAATGTGCAAATATGTCGGCAAGAGAATGCTAAAACGATCCACTAAACGATCTCCCTCGCAGGAACCCGACGCCCGACCTGTCCCTGGGCTTCAAGTGGACGCCGACCGAGGCCTCGAGCCTCTCCTACCTCGGCATCACCTCCGCCCCCGCCATGAAGCTCTACGACAGGGAGCAGGTACGGCGCTCGGGCCTCGAAATCAAATCGGGTGGGGGGGGGGGGGGGCGCGAGCACGCTGATGCGAGCCCATTCTTTTAGCAAGAAATCGGTGCCCAAAATTCCCCATTTTTGCTGCACAGCATATTTTGCAATGAATATTTTTTTTTCAGTAGAAACGTTTGTATGCTGTCAAACAACACGCATAATTTCGAGAGCATATCCAAAAGCCTTCACATGCATTTCCACTTTTCCAGGACATCGAATTCTGGAGGAACCTGCCGAGGAAGATGAACAAGCTGCTGTACCCGGACCGCTTCTCGCAGGACAGGAACTAGGACGCCAGGATGAGAGAGCCGCCGCTTCGGGTATTTGAGGGATGTGCCTTTAATGCCCCAGCCCCAGCGCTTGAATAATTAGCACATATCTTGCATATGCATTGTATTACTTACCTTTTATCCGAAATTCATATTCATATGCAAATTGTTTATACAAATATGTTGACATATATCTACAGAAGGTACACGCCGTTACAATGTGTGTATAAAATGTATTAATGAACCATAAAAGAGGCATCGGTAAGCTCGCAGCATCATATACAGAGAGCATACCCCCCAAGATGGATAAAATAAACGCAGAAATTAACAAAACACGAATAGTAATATAGAGGTCATCATCATCTCCAGCCGTCTACCACCAGCGAGTCTGTCTTGTACGTCTGGTTCTCGGCCACTCTAAAGAACTCAATTTTCTGATGCTGGAACCAAGCAGCACGGCAGGTTTGGTCCTCTGTGGAGAATTCTGGGGTTAAATACTACTACATACCACACCTGTGGGAAATTTCCCGAACCAACCAGATGAGCACTATCATATTAATCTCTCCACAAGACCTGTTAATTATATTGGAGAACCGTTCAGACATAATCAGCGGTCTCCAAGCGTCGATTCGCATAGGAATGGCGTGATGTTTATCTGTTCAGCCTCCTCTCTTCTTCCACTAATATCATTGTAATCTCAAATAAATGAAGTAAATAATATAGTAGAAAGAGTTCCACCACTCTTTATTTCTTAATAAATGAAATCATACATACCGAATCCCAAAAAGGACAAGATATTAAGGTCAAAACAATTAATAAACCGTTCGATCGGAAATATGGAGAGAGAAGACCAAAACACGCGTCTCTCTCGTACATCTTTCGAAAGTTGCATCTTCTAAAACTGTAAATTATTAACCTTTCCACTTCACAATCTTCTTCATAAAATTAACTTATTTATAATTCACAATAAATTAGGCATATAGATTACACTGCTCATACAAAGTTTTAAATTTCTCACATCCTCTGTCCAGCTCGTTTATTCCCATGGATACCGAGTGCTTGTGCAAGTCGGATATCGCCAATAAATGAGCAGTTGGGCGTCTAGGTCAAGCTGTTGCAAGCACATGACACGCTGTGGGGGCCGCTATGTATCACAGAGAAATGGTTCTTGAGATCCTTAATCATCCTACCAACTGCAAGAATGACTTGTATAAAGATTTGCAATTAATGAAGGCAGTTTACTTATTGCACTCTCCCTGCTGACCACTACTTCAAAGTCAGTGTTTTCCAAGCCACCTGTTAACACTGCTCCTCTTCTTGGGACTCGACTGAGGTCCTCATAAGCTTGTCCATTCTCTTAAAAAGGAACTACTGATTTCACAAAGAAAGGAATTTGCCCAAAGATTGTCCCTACGTAATGCAAGGGAAATTTCGATTTTCCCGTTTTCTGTAAAAACAAAAAAATGCCTTTGCCGACATTACTTCTAGATCACTCCTCTTATATGAACACAAGATCTTCTGAACAACCATTGCTACACACTGATTTCAAAGTTCTCGCCCCAGACAGAAGGAAACCTCTGTATCCAATCTCTTGACAGGAATGCATCTACTCTGGCCAAGAATTCTATGCTGCGTCGAACACAGCGGTCAGGAGTTACATATCAATGGGCTTGCTATGTCATCAGATCGCCAGTGAGTGTTCAGTAAAATGTATATATAACATGTTCATTTCGCTGCAGTGCATGGGCCATGATTCCCACGGGCATAGAGATAACAAAATCGGACCGTATATTTATCATATTATTCTAGACGTTTATTACACATACCTGGAAAGGAAGAAGCAAACACGATCCCGATGTTTGTGGTTTACTTGACATTCTAAAGACGATGGTGTCCTTCGCTATGAACTAAAACAAACATTTCTCTTCGACATTTTTCCTAAACGCACAGATATAGCGGTCAATAGGCCATGACAACTGTCCAAGAAATAAACATTTGCCTTGGGTATCACACGCCTCCTTAAGACTCCGTAAGACCCTTTTCACACGGTGCGGTTCGTCTTCACGCGGTTGCGGTTCGTTTGCGTTCGAGAAAAAATATCACTGGTTCACATTTTAAGTTTAGGATTCGGTCATTTTGCGCCTACTTGTTGCTCCAACATGGCGCCCCAGAAATGCAGTAAAAAGTAGCTAACAGAAGTCGCGTTGCTTTAGGCGCAGATGAGAAGAGAGAAGAGCAGAGTTGTGTAAAGAGAAGTGTGTGGGTAGACGAGGGATTAGTGGAAAGGAGAAAATGAGGGGGATTTTTCACTTCCGTTAAAGAATTACATGTAGTAGTCTCAGATGTATTTGGGGATTTTCTTCCCTCGAAACAAAATGAAGTGGTCCTAGCTGGATTTAGGGATTTTTTTCCTCCAATAAGATGATGAATTAAAGTGGTCTGGAGCTTGCAAACTTTTTTTACCGTACCGCCCTTTAATTAAATATATTCATGACCTTTTTTCCGGTTTCATCCTTTTCACATTGTTCTTCTGTCAAAATCTGAACATCATCTACTTTTTTCCATGTTCTTTATCACTTCTTTTGCTTCATCAAACTTTCCAAATAACGAAAGGTGTTGCTTTTACATAGCTCCATTCGGACACACTGACTGCTCCTTCGTTTTCAAATATGTTTGTTCGTTCCACCTTCGTTTCAATTCATTACCTTTGAAATGAGATTATATAGAATCATTAAACTTGATAAGAATTCAACTTTCTGGCTCTCTCTCCAATTAGTTTTTATTTTATTCTCATATTCCTAGTTATTAGTTTTAGCTTCAGAATCAAAGCGTTTATCTATCGCTTCTACTCGTTTATTAGAGCGAGATTAGAATACAAAACGCCGAGAAGACACAAGAATATTGCTGCAGATTACTTGATTTCTGGAACTTCCCGAACTGCATAAAGGCCATGAATTAAAAAACACAAAAAACTATTTAACTACTATCATGTTTTTGCTTTCTTTTCCTCGCATTCGTGGATACAGATTGCAAATATATAGCACTTGGCATCGGGTCAAACAGCAAGAATATAATGAAGGGGGCATCTTTTCCCATCCAAATTCTGGTGAGCATTTAGGAAAAGATTTTCTCAACTTACCCTTACCCAGGAACAAATCTTTCCGAGTGAAAACTTATTTATCGAGATCTTATTCCAGTTTGTGCATTGTGGGTTTTTCTTCCATATTATCTACACGGTAGTGTGTTTAATTGCATATATAATATATATATATATATATATATATATATATATATATATATATATATATATATATATATATATATATATATATAATATATATAATATATATATATATAATATATATACGTATGTATGTATGTATGTATGTATGCATATACATACCAGCAAGAGCAAGAACCTTCACTAACTCGAGAGACGAAACGAAACAAACAAACAAACACACCACAAAGAATCCCTCACAGCGACCGATCCGACAATCAATGGTACGGAGATCTCTTTCGCTGATTACGCCTCGGAGGCAATTTTTATCTCTCGCTATCGGCTATCGGGCCTTCTTCTTATCTCACGGTGCAGGAGACGCAGCTGGCCCGCCGCCGCAGTTCTCCTCTAACCTCGGCGGGAGACGCACGGACTTCTCTCCTCTGTGGGATCGTGTGAGTGTGTTTGCTGCGGCCGTGTTTATGGGTGTAGATGGGTATAGTCGTACATGTAGAAATGTATGCAACTGTGTACGTACATACATATTGTGTGGTATTTATGTTTATTCAGTTCTCTATTTATCTATTTATTCGTGTAAGTGTGTATCTCTAAGATATGGCGAGTATGGTATGATATTTTTAATGATAATGGTGAAGTCAAGAGACAATAATATAATTATAAAAAGAAAATTGTAATAATCCTTATGCTCTTTACACACACACACATGCATGTATACCTGTGTATACATATAGATAGATAGATAAATAAATAAATATATATACATACACATATTTTGTTCGAAATCTCGATTATTTTCAATTCTCATTGTGGATTTTCTTACATTCATTTTTGTGTACACGTTACTGTGTTTGTGTTCATATAGGCACCGATGTATATATTGGCCAATTAAATAACAAAATGGCGGCAGAAGTTACACATGCATACAATAATATCCATATAATTCCAAGAGAGCAACTATACTATCAGGAAGGTCTAGAGAAACCAGTATTCGTAGCGTCTTTATGGATAGGACACGTGAAAAAACGGTAGCGTGTCTCGGCAGCTTGGCTCGTGGGTTGGGCACGTGTCGAGGTCAGCTGGTCCGGGTGGCGTCGGGAGGTCAGAGCCGAACGAGGGGCGCGCTCTCGCCGGTCATCCTGGGTCAACGCGGTCAAAGCAGCTGTGCTCCGGATATACGCATACATATAAAAATATATGTGTATATGTATGTACATAAGTATATATATATATATACACATCACACACACACACACACACACACACACACACACACACACACACACACACACACACACACACACATACATATATATATAATATATATATATATATTATATATAATATATATATATATATGTGTATGTGTGTGTGTGTGTGTGTGTGTGTGTGTGTGTGTGTGTGTGTGTGTGTGTGTATAATATATATAATATATATATATATATATATATAATATATGTGTGTGTGTGTGTGTGTGTGTGTGTGTGTGTGTGTGTGTGTGTGTGTGTGTGTGATTGTATATATATATATATATCTACACACACACACACACATACCATGGGGTATATACATGTGCATAGTTCATGCTGAATGTAAAAAAAATATGTTGTAAATGATAATGATAAATAGGAGAAAGATAATAGAGATAAAACAGGAAACGGAGTGAGGAATAGAAGGGGAAAACGGAATTGAGGGATCAAACGAGAGAGAGAGAGAGAGAGAGAGAGAGAGAGAGAGAGAGAGAGAGAGAGAGAGAGAGAGAGAGAGAGAGAGAGAGAGAGAGAAGAGAGAGAGGAGAGACAGAGAGGAAAAAGTAAAGATAAAATCTAAACGTGAAAACGGTATATGGATCTGCGATGAAATAAAAATGTATATACT